GTGCACCTGTTTATGCCGCAAAGATCAAGGATATCAGCGAGGGGCTCTGCTCGACGACATTGTGTCAGCCAAACTAAATATTGTGGATTTTTCGATTAGCGCGAAACGTTCTCTATCTCAAGCCCTGCAGCTTAATTTCCTGACGCAAATATCAACACGACGGCAAGCCAAAGAAGATGCCAAACAAGCTGAAGCCCGGCCCCAAAGCGCTCTAATGAAATTACAAGCTGAAAAGAGATGTAAAGAGTGAGGAAGGCGGGCCGGGAGATATGGGGATAGAAATAGGTGTAGGGCGAGACTAAAGAGTGGGAGGCGGTTGGCTGGCTGGCTGGCTTAGTTGTGGTTGTGTGCGGGACACTCGGCTGACTAGAAAGTGTAAGCCAAAGTGGCAGTGGAAAGTCAAGTAAAACTAAGCTCATTTAATGCGCTGCATAAGCGAGCGAGCGAACGAGCGACTCGACGCCGCAGCAGGGCAAGCGACATTCAAGCACCTACAACGGGAAATAACTGCAGCAACAACAACAACAACAACAACAGCAGCAGCAACTGCGACAAGCAACTACAGCGCACAACAAACAAGCAGCTCATGACGGCATTTGCAGTTTTACGTGCATCCTGAGGATAATTTAACGCCTCGTACAAATGCAAACAAATGAGCGTAAGCTGCAAACACACACACATATATAGAGACAGCACTCACACACATATGAGCTTAAAAAAAAACAACATTTATTTACTTGCAAGTAATACCCGTTAATGGGTTTTTAAAACAAATCCGCTGCGGGCCTGTAAATGAAACGCGTCGCTACCCAGGCGTCAGCCCTACCCAGCCCGAGCAGCGAGCACTCAGCTGCGTTTATCTCGTCTGGCAATTAAATTTCAAATATTAACACAAGCATGTATAAGTGCAAAGGCAACAAAACACTCGGCAAAAAAAAAACAGAGAGAGAGAAAAAACCGAAAGAAAATAGACTGAGAGTGAGAGAGAGAGAGAGTGAAAGTGAAAGTAAGTGGGCGATAGAATGGCATGTGCCATTACATAGTTAATTAAACAAACATTTTGCGCTGATAAAACGTTTTAATTAATGCGAGTCGTGCGAGGCAAACGAGAAGCCGTTTAAAGTGCCAACACCTTCAAAGTATGCTATGAAAATGTTTCAAATACACTTCGCTGCTGGGCCACGTTGACATTGCCATGGAGTTGGCAACATTTCAGCGCCAGTTGCAGTTAATTGAGTTTACTTTATCAAGCATTATGCCACACTTAAGCAAGCTTTGCGATTTGCAAGTCATTTATCTTTTTGGACCCTGCCTAGACAGCTGCCGCCTGTTCACCTAACAACAGGCCGTACAAATTCGCAACAGGCTTTTTCTTCCTCTTTTCAAAGCAATTAATCTTCAATGTTTGTCAAGTCTTTCTCCAATTGACTCTTGTTAATTTGCTCTTAAATTAAAAGTCTTCTATTTGAGTTTAGGCAATTCCATGGCTGATTTTTGTATGCTTAAGTTTCAGACTTTTTACAGAATTATTTTTACTGTCGGCTTTCATTTACTTTTGTGCAAGATCAGCTTTAAATTATAAATAAAATATAATATATTTTTTATATGAAATATAATAAAAATATTTTTTATATAAAATATTATAAAAATTAATATACATTAAAAATAATATATTTATTTTTTATATAAAATATAATAAAATAAAATAATTTTTTTAAATAAAATATAATTTATTTAAAAAAATTATAAATAAATTATATTTTATTTAAAAAAATTATTTTATTTTATTTTATTTTATTTTATATAAAATAAAATAAAATAAAATAATTTTTTTAAATAAAAT